TTCACCTTGAAGATCCACATGCCATCGACTACGTTCGCCCCGGGGGGGGGGGAACCTTGTCAACGTAGGTGCCTGTGTATCTGTAGGAGGCCATCTCTGCGTCCATGGCAGCTCTCCACTGAGAGGCCCAAGACCCTGATACTGCCTCAGCATAAGTGTGAGGAGTCGGTATGTCAAGGGCGTCGGGGTCTCCCTCAGGAGCGAGCAGCATGGCACAGAGATGAGGTGAAGCGGCTGCTAGGAACTCTAGCTCAAACTGTCTGTCCTCTAGGGCGTTACAGCCAAGGGCAAACTCACCCCCGATAGCCAGAGGACGGGTAGGAGGAGCAGCAACGACACGAGTGGCGTAGTCAAGGCGGCGAGTAGTGGAGAACTCGGTGACAGCGGCAGTAAGGGTGGAGATAGAGGACAGAGAGGCACGAGGGACCGTAACAAGAGAGGCAAGAACACGAGAGAGAACAGGACGGTACGTGCGGTAGTATTCAGTGACAGGAGTAGAGAGGGAAGCATTAAGGGCCGACTCAGGGGGAGAAAGAAGCACAGACGGAGACGAACGAGGAGAGCTAGAATGAAACAGGACTGTACGAAGCTCACTGACGGGAACAGGGGACAAGGGACGAGAACGAGGAGAGCGAGAAGCCCAAGTGTGAGAAAGAGGGGCGGACAACGGAGGCTGAGAACGGGGGAAAACAGCCGGGGTGGGGTCAGGAGGAGGAAACGTGGGATCGTAAACAAGAGGAGAGGGGGAGGAGGGAGGAGAGGGGGAAGGGAGACCAAAGGCCCAAAGGCCAGAGACAGGAGGCGTAGGCGGCCGCTGCTGCTGCGGCCGCAGCTGCTCCTGCTGTGGCGGTTGCTGCTGCTGCTGCTCCTCTAGCTGCTGTAGCTCCAGCTGCTGCCGCTCCAACGCTAGCCTCTCTCGCTCCAACTCCAGCTGCTCCTCACGTGCACGGCGAAGAAGGGCCTGGTGCCGGGTCGGGTAGGGGTGGGGGGGAGGAGTAGTGTCCACGCCGCTGCCGCTGCCGCTGCCGCCGTTGCCGCTGCTGCTGCTACTGGTGCTGCTGCTACTGCGGCTGCTGCTGCCTCTCTCGGGGACCAGTGTGAAGCGAGTAGAGACCAGAACCCGGCTCCTGGCGAAAGGTGGCCAGGGGGGCATGCGTGTCACCGTCCACACAGGTCGCAGAGTCCCCAGAAGGCTCAAACCAAACACCAACGTGCTGACTCACAAGCGGCCGCACACCCACCAAGTTCCTAGAGAACGAGGGAACATAGAAGCCTATCAGAGAACCCGAGGGAACAGCGGGGCACGGAAGCGTAGTAGAGTGGTGAGCAATGACTGGTCCCAAAGTGGGATCAGCCAATGCTATAGAGACTGGCGCAGGAAGCGGAGTAAGAGTCGTGTGGTCGCGAAGGAAGCACTGCGAAGCTCCAGAGTCCAGGGTGAAAGACAGCGAAGCATCCGTCAGAGTAGCACCTGGACGGAGTACCTAAGCAAGTACCTACACTAGCAACTGGCACAGGATCAACACTAGCACCTAAGCTAAAAACACGCGAGCAAACGGAGTCAGAATCACTAGAGTCAACAACAGCATACATAGCATTTGCAGTTCCTAAGAGTTCAAGTAGCTGAGAAGCAGACATGTCCCACACCGCGGGACTGTGCGAGAGAACAAAGGGAAGCCAGTCAGGGGCAGGGCCATCTGCGCCGTAGGTTGCGCGAAGTGTGTCAGTGAGTCGGGCAAAGCAATGACCCAGAGGGTGACGGCGGTCTCAGCGGAGGCCACTGCGAGTACCTGTCTGGATGAGATAGGGGCAGGGTAGGTGGGCGTCACCACGCGACAGCTGACGCGGTCCTGACCCGAGCCTCTGGCCCTGCTGCTGCCCCTGCTACTGTGGTGGCTGCTGCTGCTGAGCCAGGTACCAGGCCGCCACCCCAGCACCGACAGGTGCCCGACGAACCCGAGTGTCACCTCCACCAGTTGCAGCAGGAGAGCCACTAGAAGCTGCACGAGGCGCTCCACCAACACCTGCACTCCCACCACCGCCACTCGCCACACCACCTCCGCCGCCTCCGCCGCTGGCTGCCCCTCGTGCCACTCCTAACTCTTGACCGCGCATAAGTTGTGACAGCAGCCGCGGTCTTGTCAGTAGCGGTAGCGGCGAGGGAGGCAGTGAAGGTGGGCAGATGTGGGACAGTGCACCCGTGGAAAAGTGGGGGGGGCACAGCGCCAGAGGCAGGGGCTACCGAGCAGAGGTTGCTCTCGACGTCCTTGAGTGCAGACTCAATGATCTCGATAGTGAGCTCGCTAGGGTGCTTCAGAAGAAGCGCGTCGCGAACTGTGGCAAGGCAGTCAGGGAGGCTAGTAATGATGAAATAAATAGTAATTGCCATGGGGGGAGGGAGCAGCGCAAGCTGTGCATCAGTGCAGGCGGCGCGGTAGCTAGAATTCAGCGAACGCAGGTGAGCAATCAATCAGCAGAACGCTCATCAGTGCAGGCGGCGCGGTAGCTAGAATTCAGCGAACGCAGGTGAGCAATCAATCAGCAGAACGCTCAAACGAGGCGAGGTCAGGAAACAGGAACGGGAGGAACAGGCGACCAAGAGAGACAGTGGTGGGAGTGGAGTAGGGGCTTTGATCGCAGTCAAGAACTCGCGAGCAGTGCAAACCTGGGTAAAGTGGGTCTCCTCAAATTCAGGGAGGAGGCTGCTAAGGGCGATGCAGGTTGCGGCATCGCGCGATTTTCAGGCTGTCAGAGCAGCGCGCTGACGTTCAAAACGCTCTCTGTCCGCAATGGTGGGGTCAGCGCCTAGGGGTTCAGGATCAGAGGGCGCAAGAAGGTCACCGGAGGCGTGTGCCCAGAGGGACTCGTCGGCCTGACACTGACTCTCTAGTAGGCGATGCGCACGAAGGAGCCAGACAGAGAACTCTAGCGGCCGACCCTCGGAATCAAAGCGCAGTAACCTAGGGGTCGTCATAGCGGAAGCGAAGAGGTGAGAGTTGCGGCTGCCGAAATCCTAAACGCCTAGAGGGCCTGAGCAGGGCGCGACAGGCAGAGCGTAAGGCGCAACAGGGAGGGCGTGACGGGTAGGGCGCGACGCGACAGGGGAAGGGCGCGACGCGACGGGACGGGACGGGACAGGACGGGACGACGGGACGGGACGGGATGGGACGACGCGACGGGCGCGCAGGGACGGGACGGGACGGCGCGACGAGCGCGCAGGGACGGGACGGGACGGGACGACGAGACGGGACAGGATGGCGCGACGGGCGCGCAGGGACGGGACGGGACGATGGGAGGGGACGGGACGACGGGACGGGACGGAATGACGGGACGGGACGGGACGGGACGGGACGGGATGGTTGCGACAAGCGCGCGGGGACGGGACGGGACGGCGCAACGAGACGGGACGGGCGCTACGGGAGGGACCAGCGCTACAGGCGCTACACGCGCTTCGGGCGTGGTAGGCTAGGCACAACGGGAGCTACGGAGGGAGCCACAGGCTCGAGAGGAACAGGATCCTAGGAGGATCCAACCTAGGTGATACCATGTGAGAAACGGAATGATGGTGGTATTGCTGTGAGTTGGGGTACATGTAACTAACCCTAACAACTGTACCCCACATGACATGCCTCACTACAGGCTACAACATTTGACAATAACCACTGATCCGTTTTGTTCGGTTTTAGTCGAGCAGAATGTGAGAAAGTTGATGCCTGGCCCACCTGGTTTTTGTTTCGTTACGTTTGTGTGTGTGTGTGTGTGTGTGTGTGTGTGTGTGTGTGTTTTTTTTTTTTTTTTGGCGATGCTATTGCAAATGATAGAAAATCTGGAAAGATACTTCAGAGTCACAACTGGTCAAAGCTAGCTGAAAATCATTTGTAGTTTTTACTTCCAGGGCATGTAAGTAATCGTTGTGATGATGTTCTGTAGTGAGGACAACAGAACTTCAGCGCGGAACGCGTCACTCTGGATAATGCGTTTGTGTCGTTTGGTCTTCTGCGCCGCCACCTGCGGGCAGAATGTGTGCAATGCATGAGGGGGTGCCTTCATCTTGGCTAATCTTCGCCAGTTCATCTTTGTCGCTTCATCTCCACCCTTTCGCCAAGACGCATCGCCTGCTGTCCTGGTCGCTGTCTCGCCAACCAGTTTTCGTCCATCCCGTAACCTTTTTCGACTTGTTCGCGAATCAACTTCAACTGTACATCTCCGCCGGTTCATCTTCAAACTGTCCAGTGCATCGTGCAGCACAAGAGCCAGCACAGAAACAAATCCCAAAGCAGCGAGGAAACAAATCCCAACGCAGCAGGAAAACACTACCACTGCCAGTCAGCACAGCACCGCAATGAGCAACTGTCATCTCATCTCATCGTCGTCCGCACAAGCCTTTCCCACCCCCGTCTTTGGCAACATGCCTCGCCCTTCTCTCTTCTCATTCCCTTCCAACAACCAGCCTGATTTCGAGCCGTCGCATGCACCACATCGCATCGCGGCGTTGTCTTGCAACAACCGCCTCGCGAGTCGTGACGCGGTCCGATTCCCTGTTGGCCCGAACACCGCAACGATTCCCCCCTCATACACGCCGTTCCCTCGCACACATCCCGCTGTACTCAGGGGCTTCGGAGCTGTTCATCGCCCCGTTGCCAACTACAAAAGCCCAGTCGAGCTAGCTTATTCTCATCAGCAACCATCCATCCGCCAGCGAGCTTGAGAGCTCCTCAAGCCTCAGAGAACTCGAGCTTCAGTCTCGAGCTTTCAGTCTCGAGATTCCACATCTCAGCCCGCCAATTCCAACCTTCCATTTCAAGCTTCTCCATCCCGAGGCGTTCGACTCAACCATGGCGACCTCCCGCTTCTGCGCGCTGCCCGGCGTGGCGCTCCTCGCGCTGGTCCTCCTCTCCGCCGCGTCGCTCCCGTCCCCCGCTTCCGCCTTCCGCGGGCGGATGCTCCAGACCCCCGCGCCCGCGCCCGCGCCCTCGGGCGAAGTTTCCGGCACCCTCCCAATGGAGACCATCCCGTCCCCGTGGCCCGCAACCAACGCGTCCATGAACGCCGCCGCGATCGCCGCGACCATCGACCCTAACATCAACGACACGTATCCCGCGGTGCTTGATCCGATCACGCAGCCGGCTCCCCCGCCGTATGTGGCGCTGAACCAGTTCATGAATCCCGCGGATATCGGATCGGCGCTGGATCAGATCGACGCGCGTGCCGTGGCGTACTCGTCTACGCTTGAGGATACGAGCCTGCCGACAGATGCGCCGGAGGAGGTGGCGAACTGGACCAACACGCTTGCGACTGATCCTGGATACGCCTCCTACCCGTACAAGAAGCCCCGGTGAGTATTCGTCCTTGTATTAGACGCTCCATCTTGCAAATTACTCCTTGCATCGATGCTGAATTGCGCCACTTGTTCCAAGCCGCGCTGCTGGTTCGAAACTGTGCTGAGCTGTGTTGTGCTGTGCGGTGTGGCGCGGTGTTTCCCGGTGCGTGCAGGTACCACCCTGTGTATGGGCTCGCTGTGAAGAAGCCCAACGGCAAGTGGTACACTTACATCAACAACAACCTGTCGTGGCCGGGCGTTGACGACTGGGCCACCGGTTTCAGTACGTTTGCACACCCTTTGCACAATTTTCGCACACCATTCGCACACCATTCGCACTTACACACTGTTTGCCCAGCGGCAAGTGGTACACTTACATCAACAACAACCTGCAGTGGCCGGGCGTCGATGACTGGGCCACCGACTCCAGTACGTTCACAATCCCTCTGCACACCTTTGCACACCCAGCAAACCATCACAGCCTCTTCAGCACCCCACTACGGTAGTTCTTGCGGCTCTGCCCCTCACCCCTTACTCTCTTCCCCAGTCTCCTTTCCCTCACTTTTGTTTCTTTTCTCTTTTCCCCCTCTTTCCCTCACCAGAGACCTGCCGTTTCACCCAGCCTGACCCCGTCTACGGGTTCAACTGCACCGAGGACGCGACCTGTCCCGGGTGCCCCTACTGCCGCGCGCAGCAGTGCTTCTTCAACCGCCACTGGCCCACGTACCGCAACCCACAGGCTGATGGCACCATCCCCGGGCAGATGTACTGGCAGCGCATTATTGATGCTGCCATTAACCCGAAGAGGTATGGCGTGTGCATGAACGCCGGGACTCCCAATGACCAGGGATGCTTCTAGAGTGCCACGACGACGCTGGGATTCCCCAAGAACAGTGGTGCTTTTAGTTTGCGGGATTTTATGGTGCGCTGGAGTGGAGAAATTATTCTGGGTTATGGATCTATGGTTGGTATCATGATGGGCAGGAGGAGTGTTGAAGTGGAGTAGAGAGGGAGGTGGGGGTGGAGAGAGGAGCGAGGTGAAGCATACGGACTTGGTTGAGGCGGTTGGGGGAGTGCAAAATACTTTGGTGCGGGGGGTTTGTGTAATAAAAGGATTTTCATAATGCATCATTATGAATCTGGTTTTTGAAAAGGTAGTATGTGATGGGTCATGACATGGGCAGGGGAAAAGAACATCTTTAGCAAGAAGCTCGGGGACATGAAATTCTAAAATTTAAGCCTAGGGTCATGAAACAAGCTCTAAATAAGGCATTTAAAAAACACATCAAAGGAGGCTTCTAACCAATAAGGAGATGAGCGGAAAAAGAACTTAATGATATGTACTGCAGTGCAGCTCTAAGGCGGCGGGAAACGAGTTTGAGATAATTCGAGGCCAATCAGCAAGAGACTTCAAAACGTACCACCTACCATTTCGTTCGGTCAACTCCTGTCGGCTAGCCGTCAATCCGGCCGATGAAAGCCTGCCTAACTACTTATTTCACCAGTTCAACGCAATAGTGTGACATTCTCGCAGTAACCTTATTCTATCGAAGCCGACGCGGTGTTTGGCGCGCAATAAACCGTCCTTTCCGCGCGCATTGGCAGCATGTGGCGGGGGCGGAAGGCGCCTTCGGAAAAGCACGCGGAGGAATCGGCGGAAAGCAGCGACGGTGAGACGGAGACGAGTCGCAATACGGAGAGTGACGCGGATGACAGCGGAAGTGACGGCGAAAGTGACGGCGGGAGTAACGGGAACGAGATAGAAGACGGGGATAAGGTGAATAAACATCGCGCGAGGGTGGCCCGAGACGAGGCACCTTCCAATGGGAAGCGCGGGTCAGACGCCAGTGATGCAGCGTCCTCAGTGACACTTGGCAAACCGTCCAGCCCCAGCGCGGCGCGGCTGCCTTGGTTGACGTGGCTTGCTCTGACTGGCTCGTATCTCGTCGCCCTGATTCTCGCATTTAGTGTTCTCCGCGCAACCCTCCCCGCGCATAAGGACCCGCTCGCCCCGTGCAAATTTCCGCCTTCCGCCAATGCGGAATTTTTTGAAACGACTTCCTTCGATGCCACCGCAATTTCCGCCGCTGCTGGGGGGAGCCAACTGGCGAACGCGACGCGATCGAGTAATGCCACGTGTCCTGTCCCGTGGCACCCAGCCGTGGACGTGCTGACGTGGCGGTGGTCCCCGCTAGCGGCGGCGGCGGCCGTGCTAGGATTCATGATTTGTGCGCTGCGCACATTGGGGAGCGGATTGGCGGAACTCGGCGCGCTGGAGGAACGCCTTCGCGCATTAGAAGGGGGAGGGGGCGGGCGCGGGGGAAGGCTGCGGGAAGGCGGGGCGGAGGGGGAAGAGGGCGGAAGCGGACGGGGGAGGGGTGCAGAGGGGATTGGAGGGGTGCCAGGTTCGGAAGGAAGCTCGGAGGGAGGTTCGGACGGAAGGGCGGTGGTTACAGCTGGCAGCAAGCTGGCGGTATCGGTGGGGCGAAGCTCTTTATTGGGAATTCTGGTGCATGAGATAAGAGCGCCGCTTAGAGGTAAGTAAGAGCAGCTTTGTCGTCATCATTAGAGAGTAAAGTTGATACTAGACACATCAAATCAGATCAGATCAGATCAGATCAGATCAGATCAGATCAGATTAGGTCAGATCAGATCAGATAAGATCAGATCAGATCAGATCAGATCAGATCAGGTCAGATCAGATCAGATCAGATCAGATCAGATCAGATCAGATTAGGTCAAACTGGTAGCAGGGTCTTCTCTTTCCTTGTCTCCTCCAACTCACCTCATCAACCCTCATTCCCTTGCGCCGCTTCCCCCTCCCCCCACCAACCAACCACTCACGTCTTCCCAAGCCCCCGCAACCATCACCCTGTTATTGCCCACCCATGGCCTGCCATCTCTTGATCTCTCGTTCTCGTCCTCCTCTCCTCCCGCACCGCCTCTTTCCCCCACCTCTCCCCCGCACCCGTACGCACATCGCTCTCTCTCACACACACTTTCTCTCTCTAACTCTCAATCTCCAGGCATGCTGGGACTGCTGCAGCTGCTCCTCTCCTCCTCCCTACACACTCTCCCTCCTTCACACTCACTCTCTCCCTCTCCCTCTCTCCAGGCGTACTGGGTCTGCTGCAGCTGCTGCTCTCCTCCTCCCTCGACGAATCGCAGCACGACATGCTGGCAGCCGTGCAGGCCACGGCGCGCCACGTCATCCACGTCGCCAACAACGTCGTCGACAGCTGGCGCATCGAGAACCGTCGGATCGCCGCGGCCTCCTCCGCCGCCGCCTCCTCAGCCGCCGCTGCAATCTTCCGTGGGGAAAGAGGGGGGGACGGTGGGGGGGGAGGCGGGGGGAGTGCTGGGCGGGCAGGGGGGGGTCTAGAGGTGGCAGGGAGGGGCAGAGCAGGGGCGGTGGAGAGAGGGAGTGTGGTGCGGTTGGGGTTAGAGAGTGCGGTGTTTGACCTGCGGTGTGTGGTCGATGAGGTGGTGCTGCTGGTGGCGGGTGAGGCGAGGGAGAAGGGGGTCGAGTTGGCCGCGCTGGTCATGGACTCAGTTCCTACGGTTGTGGTGGGGGATCCCCTCAGGCTGCGCCAGGTGGGTTTGTGGGTTTGCCACAGGCGGGAGTAAGAGCCAGACAGGGCAGGGCTCGAGTCGGTTGGGGTTAGAGAGTGCGGTGTGTTTGACCTGCGATGTGTGGTGGATGAGGTGGTGCTGCTGGTGGCGGGCAAGGCGAGGGAGAAAGGTGTCGAGCTAGCTGCTCTTGTCATGGATTCTGTTCCTACTGTGGTTGTGGGGGATCCGCTTCGACTGCGCCAGGTGGGTTACTGGTGTTGCTGGCTGCACTGGGTCTAGAGAGTGCGGTGTTTGACCTGCGGTGTGTGGTGGATGAGGTGGTGCTGCTGGTGGCAGGCGAGGCGCGGGAGAAGGGCGTGGAGCTGGCAGCACTCGTTATGGATTCTGTTCCTACGGTTGTGGTTGGGGATCCCCTCAGGCTGCGCCAGGTTCGTTATGGGTGGTGCTGTGCTGGCTGCGATGGGGTTAGAAAGTGCGGTGTTTGACCTGCGGTGTTTGACCTGCGGTGTTTGACCTGCGGTGTGTGGTGGATGAGGTGGTGCTGCTGGTGGCGGGCGAGGCGAGGGAGAAGGGGTGCTCTTGTCATGGATTCCGTTCCTACTGTGGTGGGGGATCCGACCCGCTCAGGCTGCGACAGGTGGGTTTGAGAGCTAGGCAGGGCACTGGTGAGCGAGGCGAGGCGAGGGAGAAGGGCGTGGAGCTGGCTGCATTGGTCATGGACTCTGTCCCTACTGTTGTGGTGGGGGATCCGCCCAGGCTGCGCCAGGTGTGTTGCTTAACTCACATACGCCGGCTCACCGTGGTGGGTGGTGGTAGGGGATCCGCTCAGGCCGCCCATGCCTCCTCTCTCCCTATCCCTTCCTCCCCATCCTCCCCCTTCAGATCCTCGCCAATCTCATGGCAGTGGCCGTGCGTCACACCGACCATGGCCTCTTGCTGCGCCCTCTCCATCTCTCTTCTCTCCCCTCTCACCCGCTTGCTCATCATCTCCCCTCTCCCCTCGCGAATCTCATGGCAGTGGCGGTGCGGCTCACTGACCGCGGCCACGTGTTCCTTTTTGCCCTTCCCCCCTCATTCATACCATCCCACTCTCCCTGACTCACCATTCTCCCCCCCCACACCCCCCTTTATCAGATCCTCGCGAATCGCATGGCTGTGGCAGTGCATCTCACCGACCGCGGCCACGTGTTCCTTGTGCACTCTCCGTCTCTCTCGATCTCTCAACATCACTCCCCCCTCCTTCCACTCTCTCCTTCTTCACCCTCTCAATCTCTCCAACCATCTCTCCCCCATTCAGATTCTCGCCAATCTAATGGCAGTGGCGGTGCGTCTCACCGACCGCGGCCACGTGTTCCTGGTGGTGCGCCTGGCGCCAGACGACGATGAGATGCGGCGCATGGCGGACCCAAATTCCCCTGACGACATGGAAGGTGCGTTGAGTGTTTGGCTTGCAACGAGCTCCATGTGTGGAGCTTCGTCACATCTGTGGCTTTCTGGTGGTGCGCCTGGCGCTGGATGATGACGAGATGAGACGCATGGCGGATCCCTACTTGCCTGATGACATGGAAGGTGGGTGTGTTGATTTAAGTGGCTGGAGGTCAGACACATGTGCAGCAGGCACGCACGCGCTGCACTCTTGTGTTCTTTCCTCGTGCTGCGTTGCGCCTGGCACTGGACGATGACGCGATGAGGCGCATGGCGGACTCTAATTCCCCTTAGAGATGCGGATCTCTTAGAGTTCTAGGCATGTTTTGAGACGTCTCAAAACTCCCCTGAGATGCGGATCTCTTAGAGTTCTAGGCATGTTTTGAGACGTCTCAAAACTCCCCTGAGATGCGGATCTCTTAGAGTTCTAGGCACTTAGCAGGGTACAACGTACAGAGAAGTACCACTGTCTCTCTTTTGCTAGAAGTTACTTCCTAACTGCTGTTCGCCTAGTATGTTTTATGAGAATTCTCAAAAAACATTTGCTAGAAGTTACCTCCTAACTGCTGCTCGCCTAGTCTCATGGCAGACCCCAACTACCCTGATGACATGGAAGGTGCGTTGACTGCCCCTGGACAGATCTCCATGTGCGATCCGTGAGCAGGGAGCTCGGTCCAGGCTTCTTAACACCCACCCGCCCGCACCCCATGCACACGCCATAACCCCTCATTTTCCTTCGTGTCCCCTTCCTTCACCCCCCTCCCTGTTCCCTTACTGGCAACTCTTTCCCCCTCCCCTCCGTCGTCCCTACCCGCATCCCCCACTCCTCCCCAATCCCTTCCGCCCCATCCCCTCATCCCCCCCTCCCCATTCTCCCCTACCCCAGCTCCCAGCAGGGAGGCCCAGGCAGTGGAAGCAGAGAGAATCTCCCGGGGAAGGGCGAGCCAGGTGAACGGGGAGAGCCTGAACACGCTGAAGAGCCCTGCCTGCCTTACTCTCCCTTCTGCTGCCTCCCAGCCCCCAGCAGGGAGGCCCAGGCAGTGGAAGCAGAGAGAATCTCCCGGGGAAGGGCGAGCCAGGTGAACGGGGAGAGCCTGAACACGCTGAAGAGCCCTGCCTGCCTTACTCTCCCTTCTGCTGCCTCCCAGCCCCCAGCAGGGAGGCCCAGGCAGTGGAAGCAGAGAGAATCTCCCGGGGCAGGGCGAGCCAGGTGAACGGGGAGAACGGGGAGCTTCATCAGCGGATGAGCAGCGGTGGACGGCAGCAACAGCTGGAAGAGCATCTGTCACATGATCCGCGAGCAGGAGGCGCGATTCCGGCTCAAGCTCTGGCTCAACACTCACATACCTCTCGCCCCCCAAAACACACGCCACAACCCTACATCCCCTCAACCCTTCCGCACCCCTTTCCACCCCTCCCCCTTCCCCAGCCCCCAGCAGGGAGGCCCAGGCAGTTGAAGCAGAGCGCATAGCTCGAGGGCGAGCAAGCCAGGCCAAGGGGGAGAGCCTGACTCTGAGCGGGCGGGCGGCGGCGGACGGCAGCAACAGCTGGGAGAGCATCTGCCGCATGATCCGCGAGCAGGAGGCAAGGTTCAGGCGCCTCATGGGGCCGCAACAGCAACAGCAGCAGCAGAGGGGAGGGGATAGGGGCAGGGCGGGTGGAGGGGGGGCTGCTGGGGGAAGTGGGGAGTGGGGTGGTGGTGTGGGAAGGGGAGGAGTGGGAGGAGGGGGAGGGGGATCTGGAGCGGTGGGGAGTGGTGGTGTGCGAGGGGGAGTGAGGCTGATGTGCACGTTGGAGGACACGGGGGTGGGACTGCCTGACGCTGTGTTTGACGCTCTAGAAAAGCCCTTTCAACCGCTCTCCCTTCCACTACAGCAGCGCTTCGCCGCCGTCCCACTGTTGCTGAACGTCGCCCAGAAGTGAGTGCCTCTCTATCTCCCAACTCCCTTGCATGTGCTTGCTTTCTCTACAGCGTCTGAAGGGAGCGGTAAGGAATGGTAGGGAGAGGGGGAAAAGGTGGAGTGTTCATACATGGGAGTGAGGCTGATGTGCACGTTGGGTTGGAGGACACGGGGGTGGGGTTGCCTGACGCTGTCTTATCTAGAGAAGCCCTTTCAGCCTCTCTCCCTGCCGCTGCAGCAGCGCTACACTGCTGTCCCCCTGCTGCTGAAGGTCGCCCAGAAGTGAGTGCCTCTCTATCTCCCAACTCCCTTGCATGTGTTTGCATGTGTTTGCATGTGTTTGCATGTGTTTGCATGTGTTTGCATGTGCTTGCATGTGTTTGCATGTGCTTGCATGTGTTTGCATGTGTTTGCATGTGCTTGCATGTGCTTGCATGTGTTTGCATGTGTTTGCATGTGTTTGCATGTGCTTGCATGTGTTTGCATGTGCTTGCATGTGCTTGCATGTGCTTGCATGTGTTTGCATGTGTTTGCATGTGTTTGCATGTCCTTGCATGTGTTTGCATGTGTTTGCATGTGTTTGCATGTGTTTGCATGTGCTTGCATGTGCTTGCATGTGCTTGCATGTGTTTGCATGTGTTTGCATGTGCTTGCATGTGTTTGCATGTGTTTGCATGTGTTTGCATGTGTTTGCATGTGTTTGCATGTGCTTGCATGTGCTTGCATGTGTTTGCATGTGCGTGCATGTGCTTGCATGTGCTTGCATGTGCTTGCATGTGTTTGCATGTGCTTGCATGTGCTTGCATGTGCTTGCATGTGCTTGCATGTGCTTGCATGTGTTTGCATGTGTTTGCATGTGTTTGCATGTGTTTGCATGTGCTTGCATGTGTTTGCATGTGTTTGCATGTGTTTGCATGTGTTTGCATGTGCTTGCATGTGCTTGCATGTGCTTGCATGTGTTTGCATGTGTTTGCATGTCCTTGCATGTGTTTGCATTTGTTTGCATGTGTTTGCATGTGTTTGCATGTGTTTGCATGTGTTTGCATGTGCGTGCATGTGTTTGCATGTATTTGCATGTGCTTGCATGTGTTTGCATGTGCTTGCATGTGTTTGCATGTGTTTGCATGTGCTTGCATGTGTTTGCATGTGTTTGCATGTGCTTGCATGTGTTTGCATGTGCTTGCATGTGTTTGCATGTGTTTGCATGTGTTTGCATGTGTTTGCATGTGTTTGCATGTGCTTGCAAGTGTTTGCATGTGTTTGCATGTGCTTGCATGTGTTTGCATGTGTTTGCATGTGTTTGCATGTGGTTGCATGTGTTTGCATGTGTTTGCATGTGCTTGCATGTGCTTGCATGTGTTTGCATGTGTTTGCATGTGCTTGCATGTGTTTGCATGTGCTTGCATGTGTTTGCATGTGTTTGCATGTGTTTGCATGTGCTTGCATGTGTTTGCATGTGTTAGCATGTGCTAGCATGTGTTTGCATGTGTTTGCATGTGTTTGCATGTGTTTGCATGTGTTTGCATGTGCTTGCATGTGCTTGCATGTGCTTGCATGTGTTTGCGTGTGCTTGCATGTGCTTGCATGTGTTTGCATGTGCTTGCATGTGCTTGCATGTGTTTGCATGTGTTTGCATGTACTTGCATGTGCTTGCATGTGCTTGCATGTGCTTGCATGTGCTTGCATGTGCTTGCATGTGTTTGCATGTGTTTGCATGTGTTTGCATGTGTTTGCATGTGCTTGCATGTGTTTGCATGTGCTTGCATGTGTTTGCATGTGTTTGCATGTGTTTGCATGTGTTTGCATGTGCTTGCATGTGCTTGCATGTGCTTGCATGTGTTTGCATGTGTTTGCATGTCCTTGCATGTGTTTGCATGTGCTTGCATGTGTTTGCATGTGCTTGCATGTGTTTGCATGTGTTTGCATGTGTTTGCATGTGTTTGCATGTGCTTGCATGTCTTTGCATGTGTTTGCATGTGCTAGCATGTGTTTGCATGTGTTTGCATGTGTTTGCATGTGTTTGCATGTGTTTGCATGTGTTTGCATGTGCTTGCATGTGTTTGCATGTGTTTGCATGTGTTTGCATGTGCTTGCATGTCTTTGCATGTGTTTGCATGTGCTAGCATGTGTTTGCATGTGTTTGCATGTGTTTGCATGTGTTTGCATGTGTTTGCATGTGCTTGCATGTGCTTGCATGTGTTTGCATGTGCTTGCATGTGTTTGCATGTGTTTGCATGTGCTTGCATGTGTTTGCATGTGTTTGCATGTGCTTGCATGTGCTTGCATGTGTTTGCATGTGCTTGCATGTGTTTGCATGTGTTTGCATGTGCTTGCATGTGTTTGCATGTGTTTGCATGTGTTTGCATGTGTTTGCATGTGTTTGCATGTGTTTGCATGTACTTGCATGCCGCTGCTGTTGAACGTTGCCCAGAGGTGAGTCCCTCTTCGTTTGTCTATGGTGCCTCAAAAGAGCTATGGGAAGCGGTGGGGAGTGGTTGGGAGTGGTGGGGAGTGGTGGGGAATGGTGGGGAATGGTGGGCGAAGGGCGTGAATGAGGGTGAATGAAGGGGTGTGAGGCTGATGTGTGATGTGCACGTTGGGTTGGAGGACACGGGGGTGGGGTTGCCTGATGCTGTCTTTGACGCCTTAGAGAAGCCCTTTCAGCCGCTCACTCTGCCGCTGCACCAGCGCTTCGCCGCCGTCCCCTTGCTGCTGAACGCCGCTCAGAAGTAAGCCTGTTGTTCTTTGAGAGCTCTCAAAAACCAACCGCTCTCCCTCCCGCTGCAGCAGCAGTGCTTTGCTGCTGTGCCGCTGCTGCGGAATGTTGCCCAGAAGTAAGCAGGTTCCCTCCTTTGCATGTGTGCGTTTTTTGAGACTTCTCAAAAAACATACGTGGTGCCGCTGCTCCGGAATGTTGCCCAGAAGTAAGCGGCTTCCCTCCTTTGCATGTGTGTGTGGTTGCTCTCGTCAAGGCGCTGCAAAAGAGCGGTGGGGAGTCCTGGGGAGGGGTGGGGAGTGGTGGGGAGTGGTGGGGAGTGGTGGGGAGTGGTGGGGAGTGGTAGGCGAGAGGCAGTAACGCAGCAGCTGTTTGCTCGTCTACAGCTGCCTGCGGCAGAATCAGCTTCACCTTTCACGTTATCTCTCATTTGCTCCCTCTGTCAAATCTATACGGCCCATTCCCCCACCTCCCCCACCTCTCGCTCCTTTCTCTTCCCCCCTCTTCTCGCTCCTTTCTTCCCCCCCTCTCCCTCCTCCCCCTCCTTATCCAGTCTGGTGCAAGCCATGCACGGCCAGCTGCTCGTCTACAGCCGCCCCGGAATCGGCTCCACCTTCACCTTTGACCTCTCGCTCGCTCAGCCGCCCACCGGGCCGGCCTCTAGCCTGCTGCCACGTGTCTTCCACGCGGGATTCGGGCCAATCCCGGACGAGCAGCAGGCGGAGAGCCTAGCTCTTCGGGGCAAGCTGAGGGGGCTGAGATGCCTGGCTGTTGATGGTCGACCTGTGAGGCAGCAGGTACGTTCCGGCTGTATTGGTGTGGTTGGAAGTGAAGGGAGCGGAATGGAGTGGATGAAAGCAGCAGGTGGAGAGAGCCTGGCTCCGAGGGGCGAGCCTGGCTCCGAGGGGCTGAGGGGGCTGTGATGCCTGGGTGTTGAGTGGGCCCGTGAGGTAACAAGTGGGTTCTCTTTAATCCCGTCATCTGCTTAAAGTGGGTTGGAGGGAGTGGAATGGAGAAAGCAACAGACGGAGGGCCTGACAATGCGGGGCAAGCGGAGAGGGCTGCTTTGCCTGGGTGTTGATGGTCGATCCGTGAGGCAACAGGTGGGTGGGTGCCATGCGAATCGCGCTGCCAGGTGCTTGCCACGTGCATGGCTCGCCTGGTCTGAAGGTGGACCTCCCTGACAGTCTCTCCGCTGCTGCCCTAGTCGTCCCTTCTCAACCCCACTTCCACTCGTCTCCCTCCCCCTTCTCCTTCCCTTCCCCACGCCAGGTGCTTGCCACGTGCATGGCGCACTTGGGTCTCAAGGTGGATCTCTCAGACAGCGTCTCTGTTGCTGCCCTGGCGCTCAACACTCATACACCCCTACCCTGCTTCCCCCCTTTCCCCTCCCTCCCCCCCCCCCCAATTCCCACACTGCCAGGTCCTCGCCACGTGCATGGCTCGCCTGGGTTTAAAGGTGGATCTCTCAGACAGCGTCTCTGCTGCTGCCTTGGCTCTCAGACACGACGTCACCTCTCCTGCTGCCCCAGCTGCTGGTACTGGTGAGTGTGATGCGGTGCAGTGCGGTGCATTATCATATGTTCTATGATTGGAAGCCTTAAATTGGTGCAGCGCGGTGCGGTGCGGTGTGCGGTGCGGTGTGGCATGTTCTTTGAGTGGAAGCCTCTCTGCTGCTGCCCCTGTTGCTGGTGTTGCTGGTGCTGCTGGTGGTGTTTCTGCCGCACACAACAGCACGTTGGTTGAGTGCCACACACAGCCTGTGTGGGAGTTGCCTGTGCCTGCCTGTGACTTGCTGTGCCTTCCTTTCCCCCCCATCCCCCAGGCATGGCTGTGCGTCTCTTGCCAGCTGCAGTTCTCCACTCCCCTCCCTGCACACAGGCATGGCAGCCCCCCGCAAGAGCCGGTGGGATGACCCCGCAAGAGCCGGTGGGATGTGGTGGTGGAGGACATGGAAAGTGATGGCCACGTGTTTGAAGACGTGATGGCCATCACTACTTCAAAACACTACTTCAAAACGCTACTTCAAAACACTACTTCAAAACACTACTTCAAAACGCTACTTCAAAACACTACTTCAAAACACAACTTCAAAACGCTACTTCAAAACGCTACTTCAAAACACTAATTCAAAACACTACTTCAAAACGCTACTTCAAAACACTACTTCAAAACGCTACTTCAAAGCACTACTTCAAAACACTACTTCAAAACGCTACTTCAAAACGCTACTTCAAAACGCTACTTCAAAACACTACTTCAGAACGCTACTTCAAAACGCTACTTCAAAACGCTACTTCAAAATGCTACTTCAAAACGCTACTTCAAAACGCTACTTCAAAACACTACTTCAAAACACTACTTCACAACACTACTTCAGAACGCTACTTCAAAACGCTACTTCAAAACGCTACTTCAAAACACTACTTCAAAACACTACTTCAAAACACTACTTCAAAACACTACTTCGAAACACTACTTCAAAACACTACTTCAAAACACTACTTCAAAACACTACTTCAAAACACTACTTCAAAACACTACTTCAAAGATGTGGTGGTGGAGGACACGGACAGTGATAGTCCCTCCACAGGCCTGCCTGGCGTTGGGCACTGGGTCGCATCGCATGGTGTCGTGCTTCTCTGCTAACTGCATTCCTCCGCTCCCTCCGCCCCTACGCTCCCGTCACCTTTGAGAATACTCAAAAGTTATTTAAATATAGCCGCCCCTACGCTCCCGTCACCACCCTCCGCCCCTACGCTCCCGTCACCACCCTCCGCCCCTACACTCCCGTCACCACCCTCCGTCCCTACGCTCCCGTCACCACCCTCCGCCCCTACGCTCCCGTCACCACCCTCCACCCCTACGCTCCCGTCACCACCCTCCGCCCCTACGCTCCCGTCACCACCCTCCGCCCCTACGCTCCCGTCACCACCCTCCGCCCCTACGCTCCCGTCACCACCCTCCGCCCCTACGCTCCCGTCACCACCCTCCGTCCCTACGCTCCCGTCACCACCCTCCGCCCCTACGCTCGCGTCACCACCCTCCGCCCCTACGCTCCCGTCACCACCCTCCGTCTCTACGCTCCCATCACCACCCTCCGCCCCTACGCTCCCGTTACCACCCTCCGCCCCTACGCTCCCGTCACCACCCTCCGCCCCTACGCTCCCGTCACCACCCTCCGCCCCTACGCTCCCGTCACCACCCTCCGCCCCTACGCTCCCGTCACCACCCTCCGCCCCTACACTCCCGTCACCACCCTCCGTCCCTACGCTCCCGTCACCACCCTCCGCCCCTACGCTCCCGTCACCACCCTCCGCCCCTACGCTCCCGTCACCACCCTCCGCCCCTACGCTCCCGTCACCTCCCTCCGCCCCTACGCTCCCGTCACCACCCCAGGCATGACAGTAACCTCTCAACGCAAGAGCCGGTGGGATGTGGTGGTGGTCGATTTGGACACTGACGGTCCCTCCACAGGCCTAGCTTTGGGCCGCATGGTGCTGCAGCTGAGGGACCTGGAGGCACAGGGGGATCCACTCCTCTCCTTACTGCACCTCCCCTTGTTCTTCCCCTCCTCCACTCCCCCTCTTCTCACACATTATGCTGCACACGCACACACACAGGCATGACAGTAACCTCTCAACGCAAGAGCCGGTGGGATGTGGTGGTGGTCGATTTGGACAGCGATGGGCCTTCCACAGGCCTAGCTCTAGGCCGCATGGTGCTGCAGCTGAGGGACCTGGAGGCACAGCATCGCGCCACCGACCCCGTTGCCATCACACAATCTTTTGCCTCCCTTGGGTGGGAGCAGCACTCCAACTTGCCTCTACTCGTGCTCGTGGCCAAGGTGAGACACAGCGCATGCTGCTGAATCGCCCTACGCACCCCTGCGCCCTACAGCAGTAGCAATCCATTTTCACCCGACAGCCGTGCGCCACTGACCCCGTCGCCATCACCCAGACACTAGAAGGGTCGCTTCTGTGGCTGGAAGCTGGGGTTTGCGGGCATCGTACCCCCTACCTGTCCCCTCTCTCCCCTTCACGCCTATCTCTTCCTCTACCCCACCACATCCCCCGCCCCGCAGAACTCCAACGAGGCTGTGAGGGAGGAGGCGCAGAAGCTGGGGTTTGCAGGCATCATGGTGAAACCACTGAGGGTGGTTGTTGCGAACACTCCCACCCACTGCTTCCTTCCTCTCCACCCTGCTCACCAAAACAACCCCTTACCTTCTCCCCCTCCTCCCCTCTCTCTCACAGGACTCCAACGAGGCACTGAGAGAGGAAGCACAGAAGCTGGGCTTTGCAGGCATCATGGTGAAACCGCTGAGGGCTGCTGATATGGCCACCACACTGCTTGAAGTAAGTTCCTTATATATATATTGCATTGATGCTTCCTTATATATATATTGCATTGATGCCCTGTCCTGTTGACAAGGAGGGAGAACCATGGCACTGTTTTTGCTACTCGCCTCCATCCCTTCTCATCTTGTTCGCCGACCCTAAGCCTTCTCCTGCTACCTCTGATTCTATCTCCTTTCCTCCCACCATCCCTTCTCTCATCTCGTCCCGCCAGGCTCTCTCCTTCAACCCGCGGGACACCAGCGCCACGGCAGCAAGACGGCGCCAGATTCTCCTGCGACTGTGCCTCAAGGGCAAGCACGTGATGGTGGGTGCAGGATGTGGTGTGATGTGCTGGTGGTGGGTGTGATGTGCTGGTGGTGGGTGTGATGTGCTGGTGGTGGGTGTGATGTGCTGGTGGTGGGTGTGATGTGCTGGTGGTGGGTGTGATGTGTGACTTATGCATGCTAATGTGTGTGTGTGTACCTGATTCTGCTGTGCCAGCGCCTCCAGGGCAGACATGTGATGGTGAGTGTAGGATGTGGTGAGATGTGCTGGTGGGTGAGATGTGCTGGTGGGTGTGATGTGCTGGTGGGTGTGATGTGCTGGTGGGTGAGATGTGCTGGTGGGTGTGATGTGCTGGTGGGTGAGATGTGCTGGTGGGTGTGATGTGCTGGTGGGTGAGATGTGCTGGTGGGTGAGATGTGCTGGTGGGTGTGATGTGCTGGTGGGTATGATGTGCTGGTGGGTGAGATGTGCTGGTGGGTGTGATGTGCTGGTGGGTGTGATGTGCTGGTGGGTGTGATGTGCTGGTGGGTGTGATGTGCTGGTGGGTGTGATGTGCTGGTGGGTGAGATGTGCTGGTGGGTGAGATGTGCTGGTGGGTGAGATGTGCTGGTGCTGGTGGGTGAGATGTGCTGGTGGGTGAGATGTGCTGGTGGGTGAGATGTGCTGGTGGGTGAGATGTGCTGGTGGGTGTGATGTGCTGGTGGGTGTGATGTGCTGGTGGGTGTGATGTGCTGGTGGGTGTGATGTGCTGGTGGGTGAGATGTGCTGGTGGGTGTGATGTGCTGGTGGGTGAGATGTGCTGGTGGGTGAGATGTGCTGGTGGGTGTGATGTGCTGGTGGGTGAGATGTGCTGGTGGGTGTGATGTGCTGGTGGGTGAGATGTGCTGGTGGGTGAGATGTGCTGGTGGGTGAGATGTGCTGGTGGGTGTGATGTGCTGGTGGGTGAGATGTGCTGGTGGGTGTGATGTGCTGGTGGGTGAGATGTGCTGGTGGGTGTGATGTGCTGGTGGGTGAGATGTGCTGGTGGGTGTGATGTGCTGGTGGGTGTGATGTGCTGGTGGGTGTGATGTGCTGGTGGGTGAGATGTGCTGGTGGGTGTGATGTGCTGGTGGGTGTGATGTGCTGGTGGGTGTGATGTGCTGGTGGGTGTGATGTGCTGGTGGGTGTGATGTGCTGGTGGGTGTGATGTGCTGGTGGGTGTGATGTGCTGGTGGGTGAGATGTGCTGGTGGGTGTGATGTGCTGGTGGGTGTGATGTGCTGGTGGGTGTGATGTGCTGGTGGGTGAGATGTGCTGGTGGGTGAGATGTGCTGGTGGGTGTGATGTGCTGGTGGGTGTGATGTGCTGGTGGGTGAGATGTGCTGGTGGGTGTGATGTGCTGGTGGGTGAGATGTGCTGGTGGGTGAGATGTGCTGGTGGGTGTGATGTGCTGGTGGGTGAGATGTGCTGGTGGGTGAGATGTGCTGGTGGGTGAGATGTGCTGGTGGGTGAGATGTGCTGGTGGGTGAGATGTGCTGGTGGGTGTGATGTGCTGGTGGGTGTGATGTGCTGGTGGGTGAGATGTGCTGGTGGGTGAGATGTGCTGGTGGGTGTGATGTGCTGGTGGGTGTGATGTGCTGGTGGGTGTGATGTGCTGGTGGGTGTGATGTGCTGGTGGGTGAGATGTGCTGGTGGGTGTGATGTGCTGGTGGGTGAGATGTGCTGGTGGGTGAGATGTGCTGGTGGGTGTGATGTGCTGGTGGGTGTGATGTGCTGGTGGGTGAGATGTGCTGGTGGGTGTGATGTGCTGGTGGGTGAGATGTGCTGGTGGGTGTGATGTGCTGGTGGGTGTGATGTGCTGGTGGGTGTGATGTGCTGGTGGGTGAGATGTGCTGGTGGGTGAGATGTGCTGGTGGGTGAGATGTGCTGGTGGGTGTGATGTGCTGGTGGGTGTGATGTGCTGGTGGGTGAGATGTGCTGGTGGGTGTGATGTGCTGGTGGGTGAGATGTGCTGGTGGGTGTGATGTGCTGGTGGGTGAGATGTGCTGGTGGGTGAGATGTGCTGGTGGGTGAGATGTGCTGGTGGGTGAGATGTGCTGGTGGGTGAGATGTGCTGGTGGGTGTGATGTGCTGGTGGGTCTGATGTGCTGGTGGGTGTGATGTGCTGGTGGGTGTGATGTGCTGGTGGGTGAGATGTGCTGGTGGGTGTGATGTGCTGGTGGGTGAGATGTGCTGGTGGGTGTGATGTGCTGGTGGGTGTGATGTGCTGGTGGGTGTGATGTGCTGGTGGGTGAGATGTGCTGGTGGGTGTGATGTGCTGGTGGGTGTGATGTGCTGGTGGGTGTGATGTGCTGGTGGGTGTGATGTGCTGGTGGGTGAGATGTGCTGGTGGGTGTGATGTGCTGGTGGGTGAGATGTGCTGGTGGGTGAGATGTGCTGGTGGGTGTGATGTGCTGGTGGGTGTGATGTGCTGGTGGGTGAGATGTGCTGGTGGGTGTGATGTGCTGGTGGGTGTGATGTGCTGGTGGGTGTGATGTGCTGGTGGGTGTGATGTGCTGGTGGGTGTGATGTGCTGGTGGGTGAGATGTGCTGGTGGGTGTGATGTGCTGGTGGGTGTGATGTGCTGGTGGGTGTGATGTGCTGGTGGGTGTGATGTGCTGGTGGGTGAGATGTGCTGGTGGGTGAGATGTGCTGGTGGGTGTGATGTGCTGGTGGGTGTGATGTGCTGGTGGGTGTGATGTGCTGGTGGGTGTGATGTGCTGGTGGGTGAGATGTGCTGGTGGGTGTGATGTGCTGGTGGGTGAGATGTGCTGGTGGGTGAGATGTGCTGGTGGGTGTGATGTGCTGGTGGGTGTGATGTGCTGGTGGGTGAGATGTGCTGGTGGGTGTGATGTGCTGGTGGGTGAGATGTGCTGGTGGGTGTGATGTGCTGGTGGGTGTGATGTGCTGGTGGGTGTGATGTGCTGGTGGGTGAGATGTGCTGGTGGGTGAGATGTGCTGGTGGGTGAGATGTGCTGGTGGGTGTGATGTGCTGGTGGGTGTGATGTGCTGGTGGGTGAGATGTGCTGGTGGGTGTGATGTGCTGGTGGGTGAGATGTGCTGGTGGGTGAGATGTGCTGGTGGGTGTGATGTGCTGGTGGGTGAGATGTGCTGGTGGGTGAGATGTGCTGGTGGGTGAGATGTGCTGGTGGGTGAGATGTGCTGGTGGGTGAGATGTGCTGGTGGGTGTGATGTGCTGGTGGGTCTGATGTGCTGGTGGGTGTGATGTGCTGGTGGGTGTGATGTGCTGGTGGGTGAGATGTGCTGGTGGGTGTGATGTGCTGGTGGGTGAGATGTGCTGGTGGGTGTGATGTGCTGGTGGGTGTGATGTGCTGGTGGGTGTGATGTGCTGGTGGGTGAGATGTGCTGGTGGGTGTGATGTGCTGGTGGGTGTGATGTGCTGGTGGGTGTGATGTGCTGGTGGGTGTGATGTGCTGGTGGGTGAGATGTGCTGGTGGGTGTGATGTGCTGGTGGGTGAGATGTGCTGGTGGGTGAGATGTGCTGGTGGGTGTGATGTGCTGGTGGGTGTGATGTGCTGGTGGGTGAGATGTGCTGGTGGGTGTGATGTGCTGGTGGGTGTGATGTGCTGGTGGGTGTGATGTGCTGGTGGGTGTGATGTGCTGGTGGGTGTGATGTGCTGGTGGGTGAGATGTGCTGGTGGGTGTGATGTGCTGGTGGGTGTGATGTGCTGGTGGGTGTGATGTGCTGGTGGGTGAGATGTGCTGGTGGGTGAGATGTGCTGGTGGGTGAGATGTGCTGGTGGGTGTGATGTGCTGGTGGGTGTGATGTGCTGGTGGGTGAGATGTGCTGGTGGGTGTGATGTGCTGGTGGGTGAGATGTGCTGGTGGGTGAGATGTGCTGGTGGGTGTGATGTGCTGGTGGGTGAGATGTGCTGGTGGGTGAGATGTGCTGGTGGGTGAGATGTGCTGGTGGGTGAGATGTGCTGGTGGGTGAGATGTGCTGGTGGGTGTGATGTGCTGGTGGGTCTGATGTGCTGGTGGGTGTGATGTGCTGGTGGGTGTGATGTGCTGGTGGGTGAGATGTGCTGGTGGGTGTGATGTGCTGGTGGGTGAGATGTGCTGGTGGGTGTGATGTGCTGGTGGGTGTGATGTGCTGGTGGGTGTGATGTGCTGGTGGGTGAGATGTGCTGGTGGGTGTGATGTGCTGGTGGGTGTGATGTGCTGGTGGGTGTGATGTGCTGGTGGGTGAGATGTGCTGGTGGGTGTGATGTGCTGGTGGGTGAGATGTGCTGGTGGGTGAGATGTGCTGGTGGGTGTGATGTGCTGGTGGGTGAGATGTGCTGGTGGGTGTGATGTGCTGGTGGGTGAGATGTGCTGGTGGGTGAGATGTGCTGGTGGGTGAGATGTGCTGGTGGGTGAGATGTGCTGGTGGGTGAGATGTGCTGGTGGGTGTGATGTGCTGGTGGGTGTGATGTGCTGGTGGGTGTGATGTGCTGGTGGGTGTGATGTGCTGGTGGGTGTGATGTGCTGGTGGGTGAGATGTGCTGGTGGGTGTGATGTGCTGGTGGGTGTGATGTGCTGGTGGGTGTGATGTGCTGGTGGGTGTGATGTGCTGGTGGGTGAGATGTGCTGGTGGGTGTGATGTGCTGGTGGGTGAGATGTGCTGGTGGGTGAGATGTGCTGGTGGGTGTGATGTGCTGGTGGGTCTGATGTGCTGGTGGGTGAGATGTGCTGGTGGGTGAGATGTGCTGGTGGGTGAGATGTGCTGGTGGGTGAGATGTGCTGGTGGGTGTGATGTGCTGGTGGGTGTGATGTGCTGGTGGGTGTGATGTGCTGGTGGGTGTGATGTGCTGGTGGGTGTGATGTGCTGGTGGGTGAGATGTGCTGGTGGGTGAGATGTGCTGGTGGGTGAGATGTGCTGGTGGGTGTGATGTGCTGGTGGGTGTGATGTGCTGGTGGGTGTGATGTGCTGGTGGGTGTGATGTGCTGGTGGGTGTGATGTGCTGGTGGGTGAGATGTGCTGGTGGGTGTGATGTGCTGGTGGGTGTGATGTGCTGGTGGG